CAACGATCATACTTCTCGTCGACTTTCTCTGGCCTCAGCTCATCACCAAATACGCGCCCACGCCGATATTTATACCCGCAATACTTCATTCGGCGATGGCTATGCCTCCTATTCAGCTCCACTCCGTCAGTACCGTCCTGTGATAAATGCAATTATCACATCAGTAATTAGTTTTCATCCACGTACTGTAGCATGCAGTGCCAAGGAAAGTGAACCAGATTAGCGATTAAATATATGGCCCCGATCGCTACATTCACATGTTAACTACTCCTAACAGAGACTAGTTACGGAGCTATCTGGAAGTATCTGGGATCCGTCAATTTTCGTGTATTTTTTTTTGAATCATATCGTATTCAGCTATCTAGCTATGACAATTGTATATACATTTATTTCTACATTGAAGAATCACACCAGTTAACGCCCTGGATCACTTCTCCATATAGCTATATGTCCATTATTTATGAGCCTATATCATCTCCTTTGTATGCTGCCATACACTTGGATGTTTTCAAAGATTGTAGAAGGGCTTCCTTCCCCCTTTTGGTTCTTTATAAAATTGGTAATGAAAGAGGCTTTATGTCAGCAAATGCTAACTCCCTTTGCTTGCAATATCTGGTACAGTGAAGAATTAAATGTTTTGTGGTCTGCTTTTTAGCCTTGCAAAAATTGCAGCTTTGATCTTTAACTTTCCCCATTACACTCAGGTAAGCTCTAGTATTTCCTATCCCAATTCTTGCCTGGAACAAATTATCGTGTAGATAATCTGCAACCAGCCGAAACTAGGAGGGCGGCCAAATTTTACCAAGTAGAAGATTTGGACGACAAAATCTGAGTTTATATGACTCACCTTTCCCCTGGTTTTTTATCGTAGCCTGACAAGGGCCCGAAGTTTCTCGGCAATGTAGATCCGCAGTGAGCACATGAGGCTGAACTTGTATTTTCACAGATAAGTGCCCGGAGTATTCAGTCCAACTTGTCCATGTGGCTATCAACCACAGAACCACGAGCATATGATTGTTTCCTGCCCTCGAAAATCTGATAGTAAAGCGGAGATTTGGGGAAAAGCCACAAATCAGTCCTACGTAGCCATGATAAATAGTCCTGGCGACATCAAAAGAATTACACAGTGGATCCTAGATCATGGTTGGATAGAGCAATTCCAGCGGGCAAAGACGGATAAAATGCTGCCGAAGGAAAGGAGCAGGTCAAGTCATTCTTGAGGTCAGTAAATAGGATGTGGTTGACTTACATGGATAGTACTATAGCGTAACGCTCCCTGAAGAACATATGTGAAATCCAAAGTCAATAAACAGAAAGGTCTGGGGACTTTTACCATTAAGGTTTCCTTCCGTTTAAATATCATAGTTTGTAGAGATCTGCATGGGCCAATGGGCCGCCAAATCTAGATAATGAAGTCAATTTCAAATCTGTAACTTACAATATACACAACAAGACAACCCCACAATATAACATTCGCATTCCTAACACACTATTTTCATCATCAGCCAAGCTTATCCTAACCCCTCTGAGTAGAGCCAATCATTCAATCGAAGATACAAAGTGCATACGACCATACACATTACTACCCTTCAACACATCCTTTCACAAGTGTCACGGTTTCAGTACAAAATGCTTGGGCGATCTTGTAAGTACAGTATATTAATTATAATTCTCTAGAGAGAGAATTCCTATAGCTAGAATACAAATATATATACACTCTGAGATACTCCTCTTCTGTAAGGTTCTCCCTATATCTGGAATAACATGGAATCCTCGACAATACCCTAGAAGATTCTTGATACACCTGTGGTTCTCATGAACCTTCAGTATGCTTCCAGAAAGTTCATTGAGAATCTTCTAAGCTCCTTGTATTCCGAGATCCTTCCCGAAGATTCCCTTGCATTCATTGCCTGCGCTAGCCAGCGTAGGCTACAGGAATCCCTAGGCTTAACAGCCGTTACAACAAGTCTTCATTCGATCATACTTTTTTCTGGGTCCTTTGCCCTTAATTATCTCCCATCTCTAGCCAACGAGATAAAGGCTATTTGCGGGTGTATGGTAGCTGGGAAAAATCGCAAAAACCACTGGGTGCGGGGCTCTCCTAACACCGACATCAGGACTAAATCTGAAGACATAGTGACCCTTCAGAAGCGTTAAAAGAGGCTGGGCGCTGCAGACTTGTGGGTACCCAAGGAAAGTCGCTCTCTGCCTTTCTCGCCTCCTTCCAACTCCTTCCCGAATGTCATGGTGAAATGTCAGAGAAGTCTTGACAGAGCGTGGTTGCTGTTTGGTAGCTTAGCCTAACTTCTGCTGTGCCGTCCGGGATACCGAGGAGTGCCGTTGGATTATGGACAACAGAAGTCCTAGCTAATTACCTGAACCCTTGGTTTGGCGCCGACAAACATCCAAAAGTCGAAACCCCCTCAATGATGTCAGTCCAAGCATGCACATTAATGAGTTCTTCCCTCTGATTCTACATCACAGTTGCCTGTCCTCCCTCAAGTTGTAAAGCCCCATTAGAACATCAGTCTCCCATAAACCACGACCCGAGTTTTGTGTACTATGTGTTACGGGATTAATCCCTTGTGTTTGTGCTGTCTGCGCCAGTACAGTAGGGATGGAATATAGGGCCTAGCCAGCTACGGGGGCTACCAATGTTGCGGTCTGGATACGGTTGCTTAGCAACATAGATTGTTATGATCGGCGCTGACAATTACAATTCCCTATGTATACAGCGAGAAGTAGGCAATCTTCTTTCTCCAGATTTCATTAATTAACTGATTTATTCTGGACTTGCTCTGCTGTATACCAACACCAATTGATCCGGCGACACTATGACTTGATCTCCTCCTTACGGGTATAATCAGCGTGATAATTCTACCGAGGGAGATGGATGGTAATTAACGGAGCAAGCTTCCATTTGCAATTGAGCCAAATACTTGATTGGCCGTAGAGGCACGGCATTATGTGGTTAGATTGAGTTTGAGGATTCATATGAGAATGATAAGATCGACATTGATGAAAAGTCTTTGAATTTAGATGTGCTTATTTTTGCTTTCGACTTCGATTCAGATGCGATTCTTCTTGACCATCCCAGATATGTAGAGTATACTGAGCAATTACACCGACATTGGTGGAAGGTGAAGAATTCGTCTTTGTCGGCGCCGAGATCTCATCGTAAATACCTGTATACAATCTGCCAAGTAGTACTGTTTGTAGTCTGAGAGATTGATCATTGATGTAAGATAAATGGCATAGTTGCTCAATTTGGTGCGCCGCAGACTAGCTACGTGATCGGTCTCCAGGCGAACTAGCTAAGGGATAAGGGACGAACTTCCCCAACTGTAATATAACAATCATCATAGTAACTTCACTTCTCCAAATTAATGAAGATATCTCTCCACAAACTATCCAAGCTGTTCCAGCGCAAATGTACATTCTCAAATCATACACCAAGTAAACAATAGTCTATAAAAGAGCCGGTTAGAAGGTCCTCTGCAGCTACAATTTAGCTCGATATAAAGCTAAACAGGGAGAATTGGATGTCTGACTAGAGGCCAGATCTAGGTCTAATGCGCCCAAAAGCATTTTTAGGCTGAGCCAACCGGTGCAGCGCTGAACAAGAAGATAAAAAAACTCTATCATTATGCCCAATTAATTCTAGGGGCGACAATATAAAAGTCCAGTACGAGACCCTCAGCTACATGTAGATGATACTACAATCCATTGTGGCTTGTAATAGTTGAGCTACAGGCATGTGAATAGATTTCATAATATTGAACTATGAGTATGTTGGCCAAATACAATCATCACTGCATCCTTAACATAACGGAGTTAAGGCTGTGGTTGATATTAACTTGGGAGCAAGAGGGGCTGGCGTTTGGAGACTTACATGCTGCGTATTTGTCATGTAGAGACATGATTTATCGTTTGCACTTGTATCAATTATGACTTTGTCTCGGTGATAGGAGAAGCATCATTGACAAGTTACTAGAAACCTAGTCAAGATCCTAAGCACGCAACTGAGGCTAAGAGATTTGTACTGAGTGAGCAATTATTCTAATGAATCTAGATCCGGAGGAATATAATGTGGTTGCTTGGCTCGAGGCATATGAATCTGAGCATATCATGTATAGTAACATATATAGAAATCTACCTTAATCACAATCATCATCTTAATTAATGTCGACATTAATAGCTGCAAAGGCCAGTTTTACGGTTTCCTTGTAGTACTAGCGCGTAGATGAGCCTAGCAGCGATACAACAGCAGGAGTCAGGTCGCAGAATGCTAAAGAATACTAAGACCGCAGCTAAATACAAGTTCCATTTGACCCTTTCATTTGTTAAATGTGCTTCCAGTATTCTTGCACCAGTCGTCTCAAGGAAACATATTCTAATACATCAAATAAACCGGTTGGCCCAGTCAAATCTCTCGGCATGTAATCGCATAGCGAAACTTTGGCGCTGGCTCTCAATGACTGCTTTTCTTGGCATTTAAAGACAGTGGAAACATTACTAGCATTTAAGCCGTGATTCGCATTGTAAGTTTCATAAACTGACTACTGCTAAAGATTACTGTGGTCAGTGGACTATCCTGAGACCAAGGATAGATTACTAGCAATTCCGAACTAGTTTAAGCTTAATGAGTTGAACATGTCTTCTATTTTATTACTAACTAAGCCTCTCCTACAACAGTTTTAGTATAGAGTTACTACCATACAAAAGATCTTTACTGATCCTCAAATAAAGATATAATTTCTTCTCTCTTGAAACATTTTCGTACAAATTTAATGAATATTTTCTTAGAAATATACTCCTTGGGTTGGTATATGGGTACAGAATAAGATATATAGAATTTTTAACGAATAATTACAACCTGACGAGACTCTGGATTTATATATACATCAGTAAATAGATTCCAATAACTCTCAGACGCATGTAATATCAAGTAATTATTAGCCACTATATATTTCCTGTGGTGAGCTTCTATGTAATTCATGCTATTGATCAAATTTTTCTTGGGACCTGTACGAATGAGAATCTATGCCGTTGTAAGCTTCTCCAGTCTGCGCTCCAATACTTATGGTTCCTTTTGAGATACGGATTAGATCCATCTCAATCTCCTGGAAAAAACTAGAGGGTCGCCATAGGCTATCTGAGCCAACAGTATGCCTTAGATCAAGGCTCGTGGATCCTCTAGTAGAAGCAAGGCTTGTTTGGATAATTCCATCATGTGCGCTTTTATTCTTCCATGAGACATTTTGCATAGGTTCAAGAGTCGATATTGACTCAAGCTTCTGACTTATATGAAGAAGATTCAGTCTCGGTCCATACTTATACTTGGTTGCTGAATATGTCACGCTGGGTTTGGATAACAAGCCGAGGCAGGGAGACCCTGTAGTCATAGTTTCAGTTAAACTCAACAAGCTACCTTGGCTTCCTTTTGAACAGAGAGCATCGGAGTTATAACCAGGTGAAATGGCCGTCGAAAGCTGTGTCGGGCTGCGCAACATGAATCCTTTTTTTCGTTCTGTTGTGTTTGGAGCAGCTAACAACTCCAAAGACATCATATTTTTCTGCTCGATATTGATGAATGGAACCAAAATAAGACTGATTCCTGCGAATATGATCGAGCAGGTGTAGGCTCGGTGATAAAGGGAGCCAATATCTGGGGACTTTTGTGGCCAAAAGTTGTAGAGGCTAGCCGTAATCGGAATTCCAATTGCAATGGAGAGTTTCAAAGATGTTTGGTAAATGCCTGCAGCTAGTGAAGACTGGGCCGGCATTTTTTTGACAATATAGAGCTACCAAGTATTAGAAAGAATACGCTTCGGGGCCGACCACACCAACGTTCGTCACGATGAATTGAAAATCAGCGCCAATTACTGTGATACAAAGCTGTGGAAAGAGTATTGCCCAGTAACTGGTATTTTTTTCAACAAAATAGCATAAAATTGCACCAACCATATATGCGCAAGAGCCAATTCCCATTATAAATTTGCCGCTGAACTTGTAGGTAATTAGTTGTCCAATATAGCTCCATACTATTCCGAGCAAAGCCTGAGGTAAAAAACGTACAGCAATGTGAAGAGGCGCTAACTTTTGAACTTCTTGCATATACAACGAAAGCCAGTATTGGTTCGTGATGAAAGACATATAACCGAAACCGGAACATAGAATACATAGGGTGAAAGTACTGTCTTCCCACACAGTGGGATCTAAGAGTGGACTGGGGCATCTTTTTTCCCAGATACCAAATCCAACGAGACACAAAGCTCCTGTAAAAATCATTAGAAAAACCTTATAGTTTACCCATCCAATCTGAGCACCTATTCTAAAAAGAAGTTAGATCAAAAATTGAGCGAGACTAAAGGATGGAATTTTGTACGTCAACCCTGCCATTAGTAAGGCTATCCCAACAACGATCAAAAATGTGCCCAAAAAGTCAAAATTCTCCATAGCGTTTTTCGAAGCATGCTCAGATATCGGAATTATGGGTACGGTCCAGAAGGTAAATATCATGAGAAGAACAAAGAACATGCCTATGACAATAAAAGATGCTCTCCAGCCGTAAAATTTCGTTACTATTCCAGATGAAATACTTCCCAAGATAAATCCGAGGGGGTTTCCAGCGCCGAGGGCACCTGTCACCCGATTCCTTCTCGGTCCCTCTTGATACGTCGTGAATATGGCACCCATAGATGGCGGAGAAGTAACGGCAGTTCCCACTCCTAGAGCTCCGCAAAGTAAATTTATTGCCAACGGAGACACTGCAAAGGAGGCGAAGAGAGAGAAACCACAGAGCCAAGTCAGACCTGCCAGAAGCTGACTTTTACATCCAAAGATCTCCACTGTCTTTCCAAAAAATAGCATTAGTGACCCACTTGTAAGCCTAGAAGATCTCAGCATAGAAAAAACGTTTGCCTGTAAAATTGTACCCAACAGCAGCAGGGATCCAGGCCATTTCTGTCGAAGACATTTCCAGGTCCTTAGAAATTTTGGCTGTGATGATAACAATAACTCCCTGGATGAATGTCTACCATTATTAGCAATCTTCCGAGAAATTAATAGCTTCCATACTGTCGAGGCGTTTGCTAACATCAATGTAACTACAAAGACGCACTCTTTGAAAGAATTTCTGAATGATTGTGGACGAGCGCTGGAATCAGTCGAGAATAAAACTTTCTGGGCCATTCGAGCACTGATATTAAGACTTAAATAAGCGTCTTGGAGAGAGAATGTAAAAAAAGTATCGTTGATCTAGGTATCAAGATTTGAGGGTGAGTGCTCTTAATGTTCTGTAAAGACTGGCCGAAAATCACCCAAGTGACTTGAAAAATAATACTGAAAACCCGTAGTAGAGACGAGAATGGCTGGAGGATAATGATAAAATTTAGATTCAAACATAAATCTCTTTAACGCTGTAATTTTATCATTTTTGATGGATGAAAGTCGTTGTAGGAGGTGATACATATCATTAAAACATTGAAATATGAGCCCTGTTTTTGGCGCAAACAAAGCCTTAGTTATCCAGGGTCTACTTTTTAGTCCTAGTAATTGAATAACCTACACTTGGATCCAAGGGATAATTTGACATGGAATGGCATGGTTCAGCCCAAAGTTAACATATTCTTGCAATGTTAGGGATACAAAAATTCAATTATTGGTTTTACTGCAAGACCCGACCTCAAAGAACACTATTTACGGCATGAATGGCCGATCAAGATTGGAACGATTTGAAATCGAATAAAGGGAGACTTGAGCGTAACGTGAGGCTAAATTTGGTATAAAATTCATGATAGCCCGGCTCTCTAGGTTTTGAATAGCGAATATCTCGCATTCGCCATGCCGGTCGAAATTTTATGAGTAACATTGTTGTATTAAAAACTACGGATTTTAGACGCTCGACAAATCTTCCCATCCGGCAACTTATATGGCGACAAATTTGGGTCGTGGTGATCCTTACAATCTTAAAGATAAAGATGGTGAAGTTTTATTTGTGGATCTTGATTAATCTATTATTTTCTGACGATGGGGGATAAATTTAAAGCGTTATGTGGTGAGCTGCATCCTTGGCCTTGGAAACTGATACCCAAAGCTCCTCCTCGAATGAAAAAAATTGGGTGAAAGAAGGAGACGAGACAGCCAAATATTGCAGACCGATTGTTCTATCTTCAAATTTGATTGGTGAAGGCCCCTTTGAAGATTAAAGGCCGCTCTTCGCACAAGTTAGCGCCATCAATCTTATCATATTTTCTGTCTTATCCCTAGTTTCCGCATCTTATCTTTCTCTAGCCCTGCATCTCTGTGAATCACCAGGCGCATTTGAATTGAATTTGATATCTCTAGTGTAATAAAATAGACCCAATGAGGTTTCTGAGCGCGTGTTGTGTACTTGGAAGATGGTGGGGTGTGAGTAAGAATGAAATGGCATCACGTGGTGTCTCATGGCTCCTAACTACAATGGATCTTGTGTAGAGCTTGAGACTAATACATGAATTCTATATCCCCTGAGTGTAGGATATCTATGCGCCTATATACATCAATACTCTGTTACCCCTCAGCTCCAGTGAGATCTGCTCTAGTGACTGTGCGATCTGATCGTGTGAGATCATAAGGCATTGGCAGTTTGTCTTTGTGCCGCACATCCAAAATCTGATCAACCCGCGACTATGTAGATCTTTTCAGGATCCACACCAACATCTTTGTAGACGCAACACAGGTAGACGGGTCGGAGGGCAGAGACTGAACACCTCACCAAGTTTGCAGGTACGACTCAGTACATCATACTTTCAATGACCACACCTCTCATCGACCTTCTCTTGCATCAATCGACCACCACATACATGCCCACGCCGATATTTACAACCGACGGAGGAAATAAAGCGTGGCGCACAAATCTGGGAGACTGTTCCTTACAATGGGCGTGAGAAGAATTGGGAAAAGTTTATGGGACAATCTGGAGGATGACTGTTTTGTTTTGTTTTGTTCATTAACGTGCTAGGTTACATGACTACCGTTGCACTCCTATTGTAGCTTAAGCACGAGTGGGGTCGGGCCGGATCAGGTTAACTACCGTGAAGTACAGATAAACCTCGTCCCACTTTAATGACCGGACCACCTCAGACTTCACCCATGTGTTGAATCATACCAAGCCTAACCGTCCAGAAACCCGTAGTATACACGCCGTAGCGCAATTTCCTCCTCAGCCTCGGCCACCACGCGCCCGAGCCCTTGACATCCTCATTGACTCCGAGATATAACTGCCGTCCAAGATCTCTTCGTTACTCTAGCCTTGCACCTTCATATCGTACCGTTGGGTTTTCTTCGTCATTGGGGGTTTGTGTAATCCCCTCGGTGTATCTTCCCTCTTCTTCCTCCTTTGTACACGTCCCGTTTGCATCATGACTTGCCTCATTAGGGCGTGTGTAGGTAGTTGATCGGACGAGTATGGAAGTGGGTCGCAGGTGTAGGATCGACTGAGAAATGCTTCGTCGCAACTATAAAAGGAGTTTGAAAGATGTCAGATGTTGAATACGACCCCCAGATAGACCTAGGCCCATCCGTGAATCGTATGTTGGTGGTGATGAGTTTTTGTTCAACTTTGTCCGGCTGTGAAATCTCTGCCGACTGATTTTTCGACCAAAATATCGAGTACAACTCTTTCAAGTTGAAAATCTATCAAAAAAATTCATCCCACCCTTGGTCGTGACTGAATCTCGGCTGTGGGAGAATATTTCACTCCCAGGTTCGTAGAGGACACCGCGTACAGGTGTTCAGTCTTACCCTCTGCCGCCATGGCTGGATGGTGCAGTGGTACATCATCTTGGCCGGTTTCTCAAGTAAGGTCTGGATAGCTTGGACACATATCCCACTTGAGATAGTAGATCGCCGCTTCGAATCCGGCAAAACACAATCACTTATTTCGGGGCTCCGGTATACATGGGCGACGAAGGCATGCTTGGATAATCAACGGTTTTGGATTTCCCTCTGGTAGGTACTTGCGGAGGACGGTTGACTGTTGGTGTAAGCGAATATACCTCATAGTGGTAATTACAAATGAAATCCAGAGCATGAGTGTCTCTAAAGTCAATTGAATCATCCAATGTGTATACATAGCACTGGTCATGTGTCATAGCTAAATAGCTACATACTATAAACATTATTGGCTCAATCTTGTATTACAACTAATTCACCAAGGTTCTCTATCTTGGTTCAACCAGAAAGACCGCCCTTCTTATGTGTATGTATGCACGGATCACCTTGGATGCCTGCATAACTCCCAGTCCTTTTCTATTACATGACTGCATAACTAGAGCTGACTATACTTAAATATACATCCGCTCACACATACCCATTAAATGATTGAAAAAAAAGAAAAAAACACAAGTCACAAATTCAGTTGTGGGTGCGCTGTGGGTCAGTGCTTGGCCCCAGCCAAATTAGAGTTACGGTCCACACTGGGCAATCGGGAGTGCAAGAGCGAGACGTGGAATTTCCCGATAAAAGCAGGGCATCAGCGTTGTTGGGATGGATCAGGGCGCAACGAGTTCCGCCATTGCAGAGGAATGTAGTGCGCGTGCACCAAGTCCGGACTCAGCTTGACACATCAGATGTCAGCTCAGCCCTCTTGAGTGCGAAACTGTTCATACCCCTTTACCCACTCGCTTCCCATGCGAATTTCCGGCAGATCTGTCTGAGTCATCATACAGTCTGACCCCTGTTAAGACGATATTTTTTTCCAGAATGGACTTCGTTGCCATACATTTACCGATTACACGATTATCATTCTTCAACCTCTGAATATCGTCTCAACCAGGGATTTTCTGCCAGATAGGTGCTGAAAATGCCGCCAAAAAAGGGAATTTCTGTGGAGCAACGATATTTTTCACGGCCCCGATTATATCGTCTTAACAGGGGTTTGACTGTACTTAGTTTCGTCTGTCCCTCGGGTCCCACTTTGCGGCAGACAATACTTAGAAGTCTAATTCACAGACGTTGTCACGTTTATTCATATGCGCCATTGAGGACAGAGAAGCTCCCAGACGGATCGTGGACGTATGTTTTACAGAGGGTTAATGTTGTACCTACGGAACACAAAGCTTCCTAGCATGCATTTTGGCAATCTGACTCCGAGTGTGCCTAGATGTCCTTTCCGATAAGTCGCTTTCCATGACTGCCTGCCGTATTCTTGCGCCTTGCCTGATCAACTAGGACGGCGGGCTGGGAGAAATCTCCATAGTAATCCCGCTGATCTGCAGTAGTCAATGATATCATGCCTTGATATGTAGTTATCCGCAGATTCTGTGAGAAGCGGCGTCTTCCATTAACTGCGCCTTTCTATCGCACTCTTTGAGACCTCGGTTTACTAGAGTCCGCATAGCTTCTGCGTGACGAAACCAAGCTGGTTGTAGTGTACTTTTAGAAATATTATGCTATAAGAATAGAAGTAACACAACTACGGGTAATGACTATTTGTACATCCTTCCAGCTCATCCAGAACATACCCCGTTGGTGAGCATGACATATTGCTTCGCCACTGCCTTTTTTTTCTTTTTAAATCATTTAATTTGTGTTCAGCTATTTAGCTATGACACATGACCAGTGCTATGTATACACATTGGATGATTCAATTGACTTTAGAGACACTCATGCTCTGGATTTCATTTGTAATTACCACTATGAGGTATATTCGCTTACACCAACAGTCAACCGTCCTCCGCAAGTACCTACCAGAGGGAAATCCAAAACCGTTGATTATCCAAGCATGCCTTCGTCGCCCATGTATACCGGAGCCCCGAAATAAGTGATTGTGTTTTGCCGGATTCGAAGCGGCGATCTACTGTCTCAAGTGGGATATGTGTCCAAGCTATCCAGACTTTACTTGAGAACCCAGCCAAGATGATGTACCACTGTACCATCCAACCATGGCGACGTTAATAGTGTCGCCTGCACTCTCGAGACTGAAGCTTTGGCGCACACGTAAAGCGAAGTTTGTAAAGTTCATTGTCAAAATCCCAAATCTCACGCCCGTCGAGATAATAGTCATCCTCCATATTATCCCATAAACTTTTCCTTAATTCTTCTCACGCCCATTATAAGGAACAGTCTCCCAGATTTGTGCGCCACGCCTTGTTTCCTCCGTCGGTTATAAATATCGGCGTGGGCATGTATGTGGTGGTCGATTGAGGCAA